GCTGGGTTCATCAGAATCTTTCTACTTTTTGCACGCCATTCCTTTTTCTGCGAAAATGCAGGAAATAAACTATATGCTGCTTCCCTTTCCATATCTGATGCGAGCTCGCTGCAGCCTTTTCCAGGGTTCGGCAGCACGTAGGCAGAGCCTGTCTGTACAGCACTCTGGGTCCGAGACGCTGTTATTCCGAAGCCGTCTTTTGTGACCGACTCCCGCTGCTTGGAGTCCCACTCTAATCCATCCTCACCGTGGTTTCAGACGTCGGGGTATCACGTCGAGGGGTCACCATTTGTGGGGACGGAGGAACACACAACGACCTCGCAATCAATAAGCGCGTTCGATTCATTATCTATAAGGCAGTCATTTTAGAACATGTGTAATAAGCTCATACATATTGCAAAAGCTAAGCTCAGGATTGGTTGGCCTTTAATATTGCTTACATGCTGCTGAAGTTATGTCTGGAGTTTTAGTCCCTTTATCTTAGTACCAAATTCCCTTTTTAGACTCTCGGTTTCCCTCCCTGCTACATTCTCTCTGCCACATTCCCGTATTTGCTACATTCTCTGTCACGTCGACAACTTCCAAGGACACCATCCTTCAATGCCTCTTCTCTGTTAACTATTCTTGAGCCACACTGTCCAGAGACCCCCCCCTCCACACTGTGAGGGTGGTAAGATACTGCAACAAGTTGTTCCCAGAAGCTGTGGATACCCCATCCCTGGAAGTGTTCAAGGCCAGGCTGGAAGAAGCTCTGAGCAACCTGGTCTAGTGAAAGGTGTCCCTGCACATGTGGCGAGGGGTGTGGAACTAGATAATCTTGGTCACTGCCAACCCAAACCATTCTGTGATTCTATGATTTTGGTAACGCAGTTATATATAAATTGCTAAAATTCATCTTAAAAGAAGAAATCTGATCATAGTACAGTTTTATGCAGCCTTTTTGGTTTTATTATTTCCTTCTTTTACTGTCTCATTTGATTTTTGTTCTCCTTTCCTACAGAGAACTTGTTCTGACATTCCTGTCTTACCAGTACATTTCATCATCTTGTTAAAAGTAAGCTGTATTAAAATTTAAGAATATCACCTGTGTGTACCAACTTCTTAAGCATTATTTAAACTCACCTTCCTGCCAAGTGGTTTATCAGAAATAGTTATGTGCTGAGTGTGAAAAGATGTTTTCTCTTTCTTCTTTCAGTCTGGAAATGGTAACCTGCATAAAGATGATGAGCAGGAATTCAGAAGAGATAAAGACAGCTATCTCTGTGCAGTATTTATTTCAATCCTTACATGTCACCACACCTTTTGTGAACCTGGCTGAAGGATCCTTGCCAAAGACAATCCAACCAGCACTTCATGTCCACTGCGTCACACTACAGTTGCCAGAGTATTTTTCCAAACAGCTAAAAAAAGGAAAGTTTTTATAATATAGAAAAATATTTGTAGCTTTCCATCCTGTATGCATGAAGAACAAATTTTGGTGATGTTAATCCACTGTGAGATTTTCGTTCCATTTAATTCCTCCTAAGTCCATTGAATGCAGGCTCTCTTCAGGTCAAGAAACTATTTGGGATGCATACTGTTAAACTTTTGATTTTAAAAGTGAGATGCTGATATTTTATATTTGTTTTGTTTCCTGTTCCTAAACAAACTCCAAACAAAATAAACATTTTTCAAACTATCCTATCAGAGAAGTATTTTTAAAATTACTAACTTAATGGCATACAAGAAATGCTCTTTTTTTAATTTTGTGTCTTTAATTTAGACACAAGTGAAAATAAAGACTGGAAGGACTACAGAATCTTCTTGACTAATCTTAAGTTCTCCCTTTCTGGCCTCTTACACCCTCATCTCTAGTTCCTACTTTTAGCAGTAGGAAAACATGGTGAATAGAGAGTGTTTGGTGTCATATGAGGTACAGGAATAGAAGAGGGTAAGTAGTGCTGCAGATGAAATATCTGAAACAGCATGAGTCAGTATGTCCAGAGCTTAAATGGTAGATTCAAGTACCATTAATAAAATTGCACTATGGTATCTGGAGCTAAGTAATTTATAGCATTTGAAACTGTGCATAGATAGGTCACAAAGTAATAGAAATTACTCAGCCATGCAGGAGTGTTTGTTTTACATGCTGCGGAGATCTTGTAGATATCCTCTTCAAACTGTTGTGAATGCTGTTGTGATGACAAGTTAGGCATGCAGTGTGATTTCACACTGATCAGTAGAACTGCCCACCTTCTATTTCTGGTTGTGCACACTCTTCTTTTTCAGACGTAACTTTGTATAATTTGATGGCAGACCAGTTTGAGGAAATGACTGGGATAAATCAGACCTCATTTGGGTGGAAAGGAGTAATTTTTCAGACAAACCAATTACCCCAAAGTGATTCACTGCGCAGCTGCTGGTGGGCAGGGATAAAGACTTTCTATCCCTCCACTGACTGCACTGCAGAGAAAATATATGGAAAGCTGCAGCCTGAGCACTCTCAACACCCTGCCTGGTTGGTGTACAGAGTTTCAAGCTGTTCTCATATAATTTTCTTAATGTTTACTCCCTTGGATTTGATGCATAGATGAGACATGTTTCACCAATAGAGAATTACTGTTACATTTTTTAGGCCTATTTAAATTTAAAGAAAGGTATTTAACAGATTTGCTGCAGAAGTATACTACCAAGAGAACACAAAGGGAGAATAAAGATGCTTCCTAAAATATCTTTGCAAAACTTTTCAACATATTTAAAGTGCAGGCATTTAAGTTAAATATTACCAGGATTATTTGTTGCCTTTAAGTACTTTTTACAATGTGTAAAAATGCTTGGTTGTTGGGCTAGGTGGCAGTTCCACAGAACCCCTGATGAAGGATATAGAGGTGAAGGATTTTGACTTAGACACTTTGAAGCCGTTTCTCTGAGGAGTTAACAGGGACCAAGAAAGACTTGAAAAGGTTCCAGAACTGACCAGTGAGAGAACAATGTAAGTAAGGGGTGAATATCCAATTATGTGTGAAGGCTATTAAGAAATTATAGATAGGAAGCTAATAATAGAAAGGCATGTAAGATTCTGTTTGCAGTGTGTGAGTGCAGTATGTGTGAGAACAAGAAATTATTAGACTGGACAAAGCAGTAAAGCTGACTGTCAGACCATCATCATAAAGGTGCCTGGTTTCTATTTTGTGGCCATCCTGACTACTGCAACACCTGGTGGAAGCAAATGAAGAAGAGGGAGCCATACTCTTCTGCGTGGTGCTCACTGCCAGCACAAGAGGCAGTGGACACAAATGAAAACACATGAAACGCATCTGAACCCAAGACAACACTTCTTTTTCATGTGAGGATGGTCAAACAGGCTGTGGAGTCTCCATCTGTGTACTCAAACCCAAACCAGACATGGTTCTGGGCAACCTGCTGCAACTGAACCTGCTTGAGCAGGGCGGGCTGGACTAGTTGTTCTCAAGACATCCCTTCCAACCTAACCCATTCTGTTAAAATATTAAACAGGTATGTAGTTTTCGAGGAAAATAATTTCTGTGACTAAAGAGGAAATATAGTGTTATAAATATGTAGAGTCTGCTGTAAATAGAGAACCATAACAGTATATGAGATGTTTAGTATTAACAACTCCAGATGAGAGAAATCAGCAGCTATTTGTCTATTGCCATTTAGTATATAGCAATATATGCTTTATATAGCAATATATTTAAAAATAGATGCACTGTTTTGTTATACGTATATTAAGAAAAATATTTTGAAATTTCCCAGTGCATAACATGCTGAATAGCTTTTAAATGAACCAAGGAATATTGATGATGATATCATATCCTTAGGGAAATTAGTAACATCTACACATTAGAAAGATGGATGGCGCCAGAGCAGTGTAAAGGATAGTGTGTGTTTTTTTTTCATGCAAAAGGTTTATTAAGCCTTTTAAAAGTTATGCTAAAGTCCCTGCTGCTATAAGTTTGTGCAGGCAGTAAATCAAAGTTGCCAGTACGCTTTGCATATTTCTCTAGTGCTGCAGCTGGGATGTCTTATTTCCCTCACTAATTTATTCTGAATACTTTTTGCAGCTTTCCATTTGTATATCTGCATTTCATTTTACAAGGATATCTCAAAAACAAAAAAAAAATTCCAAATAAATTTGCTTTTTAGCTTGTACAGTTTTGCAGGTGGAACATAATGGCAACAGAGGGGAGCATGTAACGTCAATAAAAGATTGTCAGCAGGTCAATTATCCATCAATTATGAAGAAAAGAGTGTTAAACTGAGAGCTCCAAAGTTGGATATGGAACATGAGGGTACTTCATCTGGCCTGTTAGCTTGGTCAACCAAACTTCTTTTACCCTCGAGAAGGAGTTCCAGTACAGAGAGGTTGTTCTGATGATGTCCACCATGCATTCCCATCTAAGACCATGGGTTTTGAGCTGATGGCACCAACCCACTTCATATCATCTCATATCAGAGGAGTGAGCTTCTGCACTTCCATTCATATAAAGTTTCACTGATGTTGTTTTCAGCAAGGGGCAGATCTCACACTCGTACAATAAATCCGCCACTTCAGAGAAATGCAGATTCAAGGTAGTGGTTGTGCATGAGAGGTCCAGGTGCATGGCAGGGAAAGTGTTACACGTGTACAGAAAGACATGTAACTTTGCCAGCCTGAGGGAATCTTTCATTAAAAGCCAAACCAAGCAACCTTGTCACCACTGCCTTTTCTGAAAACCAGGAATAAGATGACTCACCAGAAGTTTCAGTGTTTAAATTTGGACAATAAAGTTGAAAGAACCATGTCGATTTTCATGGCCTGTTGAAGGAAATTAAAATATTCTCTGATGATGCTGTGAGAGGGAAGCAGAGTCTCATCAGACTCTGAGATACAAGGATTTGGAGATTTCTGTGCTCTTCATGTATTGTGTAGCCTCATTCCACCTGCATTTTGGCATGGTGAAATAAGGAATAACTTTAGAATAAGACCAGCAGGGTTTTTTTTCTTTAAATCTGCTAATGTCTTCTGCTTACATACAAAAAGCTACTGGAACCAAAGGGTATTCAGAATTTTTTCTTCTTTTTCTACTCACAAAAAGCTTAGCCAGAGGAAAAGATTTTATCCTTTCATAAAATATTTATTATTAAAAAAGTATGCACCTTTACAGGGGACCACATAAGGTAATAATACATAAGACTTCTCAAACACCTGTGAATGCGTTTTCTTTCTTTGAAGATACAGAAAAAATTTTAGTAGCAGCTGCTATTGGTATTTATGTAGAGCCATGTTGGTTTGGAGGGCGAAACTGGGCAGGGCTTTGAAGTTTTTCTTGTCAACTACTAGCTTAGAAACCCTGTTTGTTATCAGCAGATCAATGCTGTAGTAGAAAAATATTGTTATTTTTAAATTGGTTTCCATTTTTATTGGTATGGATAGATGAATTTGACAGTTTTGAGTTGCAATCCATGTGGGTATTTCCCCAAATTATACCCCGACAAGCTTTTGAATTCTTGAGATTAGTAAATTATGTCAACTTCTGCAATGTGTCATGAATCATTCTACGAATGTGTTCTTGTTAATCCAGGGCATTTTAAAAAAATCTCAAAAAAAAATTTTGGACTCTTCCCTTTTTTTTGTATTACTGTTACAGAGTGGTGGTATTAAACAAGAATCAATATGAACTGAGAGTTATTACCACAGTCAGTTTGATAGATGTCATTTTTATTCATAGAGGTCATTATAGTTTTGTGATTTAAATAACATGATTTATTACATACCTTATTTTGCCAGAATTTGACATCATCTTTTCTAAATTCTTTTTTTTCCAGAGGAACAGAATCAAAAACAATATTGCTCTTGCTGTATCTGGAAATGCTTGGGTTTATGTGATTTAAAAAAAAAAAATTTAATTAAGAGTTTTTATAATCAGAAAAAAGGATTACACAGTAGATAAGGGATTTTTATTTTGTAATATAAATTTATGCCAATTCTTGCTCTATTTACAGAATTGAATATTTCCCCTTAATTATTGTAGGACTGAATAACTCTACCAGATCTATTTGAAGCTAAAGGAAAATTTTCAAAAATCAAATTCTGCAAAATGGCCTCTACCAAGCTGTTAAGAAGGCCTTCAGAGTTTTTGAAGGTAAGATTTCTAATTTTTGCCTAAACATTATTCAGTGTCAAGTATAGTATTTGAAAATAAGTCTCTGGCTAATACCTGCCATGGGAAAACAGGTGGTTGATTCTTAAAGTACAACTAAGTTTAATTCTCCTGGATGATTCGTATAGGGTACTCTGAAACTAAAGCTAAATTGCAGATTGTAAAAAGACAGTTTGCATATGTACCTTTTCATTTATTCTTAAATCTTTAATATGTGCACATATCAAGATAATTGTAACCTCCTGATTAGAAAAATTTTTGTCTGTATAGTGGTACAGAAAATTACTCTAGGAAAAAAGTTGCTAGTTCTGAGTGTGGTCAATAAAGATCTCTCAAAAAAAAAAAAAAAGATCAGAATTAGTGTTTTATGAAAGAAGTCATATAAAAAGTTTAGAATAATACATATTATTCCATATTTCTTGTTTAATACATACAAAATGGAGTAAAGGATATGGGTGTTAAAGTTTTGTTTTCTCCTTACGTCATGGTTTTGCTGGTTCTTGGAAACTAGGCAGGAATTTTCCCTTCCCTTCAGCAGTTAAGGAATACAAAAGAAGCGGCTTTCTTGTTAATGTCATCTCCTGGGAAACGGGAGTGAGGAGCTTCTCCTTACTTTTTTTTTCTCTCATCTCCTGGGAAACAGGGGGAGGAGTTCGGGCTTGCTGCTGAGGCTGGAACAAGGTCGGAGTGGAAACTCAGTGGTTTTTTTGTTCTCAGCCTGCTTGCCAGCTGTGGATCCTGCTTGGATTTTTCATCAGACAGGAACTGTTTTCTGGAAGCTTTTTTCCACTTCCCCATTCCTGTTTGTTTCTTTCTTGGCGGTAGTCCTTGTGCACATCAAGGGGAGAGGGAAGACTATGCTGCATGGTTTGACCAGCCAAACAGAGAGAGGGTTTTTTTCCCATTGGGAAGGACCTTTTTTTTTCTCATTGTTGTTCTTCTCCCTCTACTCTCTCCCCTTTCCCAGTGGGTCTGGGGGTAAGGGAAACCCATTTTCAGTTTCTCCAATCCCCCAGGGTTCCAAAATCTGCCACAAACCTTTTCTGCTCACAGTATCAAAAGCCTTGGTGAGATCAACAAAGATTACATAGAGTTCTGTGTTCTGTTCCCTACACTTCTCTTGCAGTTGTCTGTGAGAAATACCATGTCTGTGGTACTCCTATTGGCTCGGAAACTACATTGAATTTCAAGTAGAAGTTCTTCTGCTATGGCGGATATTAATCTGTTCAAAAGAATTCTTGCAAGGATTTTACCAGCAATGGAGAGCAGAGTAATATCTCAGTAATTTAAGCAGTCTGATTTATCTCCTCTCTTCTTATACAAGGTGACAATGACAGCGTCATGAAGGTCTGAAGGTAGTTTACCTCGTTCCCAACAATGCACCACAAATTTGTGAAACTTAGCATGGAGTGCTCGGCCACCATGTTTCCAGACATCAGGTGGGATTCTATCAACCCCAGCTGCTATGCCATTTTTCACCTGCTGTGTTGCTTTAAGAGTTTCTTCCATAGTGGGGGCAGTATCCAGTTCAGTTTTCACTGGTTGTTGTGAAATGTACTGCATTGCTGAGTCCTGAACTACATGGCTAGTACTGAAGAGAGTCTGGAAGTGTTCAGACCACCGATTCAAAATGGAAACTTTATCTGTGAGAAGCATTTGACCATCTGCACTGAGTAAAAGGCTTTGAACCTGGTGTGTAGGACTGTAGGCTGTTTTCATAGAATCCCCTATAGTCACTTGTATCTGCACATAATTGGATTTTGGTCCACCACTTGTTCTGTATGTCACGAAGTTTCTGTTGTAGCTTGCTACATGCAAGTTGAAAGGCTGCTTTTCTTACATGACAAGATGGTTGACCAAGGTGGACTTAGTGAGCAGTACTCTTCTTTCTCAGCAATTCCTGGATCTTATGATTGTTTTCATCAAATCAGTCCTTCTTTTTCTTGAAGAAGAACCTTAATGATTCTTCAGAGGACTGCAGAATGCTATTTTTAATAAGTTGCCAAAGCACTTCAGGAGAAGGAACTGTGGAATGAACTTTGAGTCTGGACTGAAGATTTGCCTGGAAACTGTCTCTCACTGTAGCTGTTTGAAGATTGTTAACTTGAAGTCTCCTTCTAGGAATGCTGCCCTTTTTAGGTTTGAAGTTAATGTGAAGGTTAAGTTTACAGCACATATGGCAATGATCTGTTTGGCATTCTGCACTAGGCATCACACGGGTGTGACAAACATTGCGGATATCTCTCTGTCGGACCAAGATATAATCAGTGAGGTGCCAGTGCTTGGATCTAGGATGCATCCAGGTTGTCTTCAAACTATCTTTCTGCTGAAAGATAGTGTTGGTGATGGTGAGCTGCTGCTCCACACAAAACTCTAGCAAAAGACAACCATTACCATTGCAGTTCCCAACACCATGCTTGCCTATGGAGTTTTTGCAGGAAAATGGACACCTGGTGAACAACCCATACTGCCAGCTGTGAAAGAAACCTCAGACTTCCCATGGGAAGAACACTTGGTTTACAGTTGGCAGTTGTAAACTTAGGCTAACTTCCCATGAGAATGGAATTAGTTTATAGTTAGCTTGAACAGACTTCCCATGAGAATGGAGTTAGTTTCTGATCAACAACTATTCCATGTTATGAGAACCTGTGGTGGGAGCTGGTATCCAGGTGCAGAAACATCGAACCTCATCTCTTGAACATGAAACATGGACTCGTGGACAGACTGAGCTATCCAATCCCCAGACTTTAACCCTGCACCCACGATGGTACAAAAGTGTATAAAATGTGTGCTGTGTGTCTTAATAAATGGTTCATTGCTTAATCATATTGATTGCCGTGATAAATCCATGCTCTTGCCATGTATACTTGCCTAGTACTCCTTTCCAGGCTTCAGAGTTCTTTCCTATTCTGGCGTTGAAATCACAAAGGATAATGATCTTATCATCTACAGGAAACTTTTGGATAAGGTGGTGTAGGTCAGTGTAGAATTTATCTTTTTCGGCAGGGTTAGCTTGGAGGCTTGGGGCATATATATCAAAGAGAAGAACATGTTGCTTGTTGTGTAGTGGGAGGTGTAGGGAGATAATACAATCAGAATGACCAGTCAGCAGATTTTGAAGTTTAGAGGCAATAGAGTTTTTGATCATGAAGTCAACTCCTGAGAAATGCCTTTCAGTTCTGGGTTTACCTGACCAGCAGAGGGGATAACCAGCACCGTATTCTCCAAGGCAGCCTTCCTCATGGAGATGAACTTCCCTGAGAGCAGTGTCCCAGTTTAAATGAGACACAGGTGGTTTGCTGAGGATGAGTTATGAGAAAAGACCCAAACTCCTCCCTCTAAGCAATTATAAATCCAAAATTAAGAGGTTCCGATTGAAGGATAAAGAAATTATGGAAAAGGAAAAATAACAGCCCCTTATTAAAAGGTATGAATTATTGGCAGAAACAATGAAGGAAAAAAACAAGTAAAACAACCAAACAATACTCCTGTACCCTTCAAAACAAACCAATAAACAAGTAAAGAAAAAAACCACAGGTAAACAGTTCAGTTTTCACCCTTTGGTGCAATTCCAACCACAGATAACAGGGGGTGCTGTTGTATCACTGGAGATGCAGAAACTGTAATGTCCTGTGCCATCACCAGGTGGCGCTGCTGGATCACTGGTTGCCGCCACATGTATTGGGGGGGGGTGAAGAACACCCTCTGGGGTGTGTGAGAGAAACAAAAGAAAAACCTGGTTTTCCCTTCCCACACCCTGGGAAAGGGTAGAAGGGGAAGGGAAACAACAACAAAAAGAAAGTCCTCCCAATGAAAAAAACAAGACTCATGCTGTTTGGCTGGTCAAAATCGTGCAACACAGTCCTCTCTCTCCCCGTGCTGTGCCCAAAGGTCCCTGCCAGGGAAAGAAAACAAACGGTAACAGTGAAAGGGGAAAAAAAAACTCCAGGAAAAAAACAACAAACAAACAGCTCCTCTCTGATGAAGAATTCAAACATGATCCATTGCTGTCAAGCAGATCGAGAGCCAAGTGAACCCCTGAGCTTCCACTCTGACCTGTGTTCCAGCCACAGCCAGCACACCAACTCCTCCCCCTGTTTCCCAGGAGACTAACTTCTGAGCAATTAGCCAGCTGGGCCAGTTCTTTTGTATCTTTTAAGTGCTCACTTGATAGCTGTGGGCAGGGGAAAGGGAAAAAATTCCTGCCTGGTTTCCAAGAACCAGCTAAACCATGACAAGCAGGGATGTCAATGTTGAGTCGTGACAGTTCGTGGGCAATTAGAGCAGAGCAAAGCTCAGGACGTCCACTGTTCGCAATATCAAGCATGGTTCTGATGTTCCATCATGTAAGTGTTAATTTGAATACACCTTTGAAGGTAGGTGTATGCCTTTGACTCTTAATCTTTATTTCACCCCAATGGAAGATGCCCATTGGCCGCAGTTAACAAACCAGGTGAAGAGTGGAGATGAGCTTTGGTTAGGCCACCTTTTCTAGGCCCTTCTCCACGTGGAGCAAGCAGTGCTCTCCTTGAAAAAGGCTGCTTGGTCATTCAGGATGCTGCCGAGTGAGTCTGTCATCTCTGGGGTCAGAGTCAGGCGACCAATGTCCTGAACCTCCTGCATGCAGGGTTAGGACTGCGGCTTCCTGTGCACCTTATCACCTGCTGTTTCTTCCCTCACCTGTCGCTGCAGGGCTTTACAAGTGTGGGTATAACCTTCGAGCCTGCGCAGTGGATTTTTTAGGTGAGGCTCAGCTTGCGCAGAACTGGTTCTACCCTTTACTCCTGAGGTTCATCTGCCAGGGCCTTGGACGGTGACAGTGAGATCCTCAGGATATAGGTTTAATTAGAGTATCCTTCTCTTGGATGGATGGCCTTACAGGGCTAAGTGAGCTCCATCTACCTGGGTTTGAAATTAGAGTTGTCCTTCTCCTAGGATGACTGCCGGAGGGCTAGTGAGCCCATCCTACCTATGGACACATT